AAATAACAAAATTTAGACAATAACTTGCGTGCAAATTGCGTGAAACTTGTTTACAGACTTAAATTATCTTTAAGCTGAGTAAATACTGGTTACCCAATTTAGGCAATAACTTGCGTGAAAATTGCGTGAATTTTGTTTACAGACTTAAATGAACTTTTGGCTGAGTAAATACTGGTTGTCCGTAAATTCCGTTTCTTTACGATCATCTAATTTGCTTGTCGTCTAATTTCCGAGGCCCCGGTAGGACTCAATATGAAAGTTAGAGCCGTTAACCGCTGCAAAGCGGCGAAGTGAGTGTATCGCGCTGACCGGCGATCTTAAACCGAGTTCAAAATTTTCTAACTGGAATGCAGCAAGGATGGAACGATAATGTCTGAAAGTCTTAACTCATTTTTTGTGGTCGTTCTATCGCTCAATGAATGCTGTTTAGGCCATGAAACACAAAAAACAATTGCGTCGACAAGATTTGCTCTGTAAAAACATTCCATGGTTCGAAGGCTTATTTTCTTGTTTGTACCACCGGGCATCAAAGTGTCATTTCGAAGACATGTCTGTCAAAAGAAGGAAATCTAATGGAAGGGACCCTCGGGAGAGATCACATATATTGGACATTTTTATCATTATTGGATATATCTCGCCACAAATGCCCAACATTTTTGAGTACAAATTGTAAGAAGATTGTTTTACGTCGTTGTTTTCTATCTCTTGATCAATCGATATAGAACACTATTGCCAACCTCTAGCTCAATGTATCAAATTATCCATATTTAATTTTTTATTTTTTTTCCCTGGGCTCGTGAATTAATTTTGCCCATGGAACTGAAAACAATTTTCAACTTGAACAAAATCACTTGATCGGATTTAAAACAAGTCTGATTAAATTTCTTAAGTAGTTTTTTAAAAAGTTAAGTCCTTTAATTGTCTTCTTAGACTTTAAAAGTGGGCGAAAAGTCCTTTTTTGTAGAAATTGATTTTCTAATCATCGTGAGCTCATCAGACTGTGAGTAAATTTTACTGAAAAAGAAATCGTTGACAGTAGATAAAAATGGGAACTTTACTTCCATCGATTTTCCATTGAACAGACTGCATGAAATCATTGTACAATTTAATCGCTGTTATATAACTGAGTATATTTGAATATCAAGTGAGCAATTTTCTGCTGGAAATTTGAGGAAGGGTAAACAATACTTATCTCTTTTTTTATTATTTTTCCTTTTATATGTTAAAAAAAACAAAGAAACATCTCACGGGGAAAGTATCAAAACAAAAAGTCGCCTACATATTTCGCCACTTTTGTATAAATTATTATTTTATTTATTTTATGAGTCACTTTCGTTTTTTTCCCACTTCATTACCTGTTTTTTGATAATTAAAATTGATGTTATTTACCTGTGGCGAAACAGAACAGCAGAAGCCAAACTGTCAAAGCGACAACTGACATTTTCCTTTTGATCATTTTCATTTTTGTTGCAAAAAAATTTGCTGCAATTTACAATTTGCAAAGATGGGTGAAGAGTTTTTCTAATTTCAGAAGAAAATTGAACGTGCGTGCAGTATTTCCATTTCAGTTGCACGTTTTTCATGTCATTATTTCCGTTCCGATTTTTTGCAACCTTCATTTTCACTTTTAAATTTGACTGTGGTTGTTGTTAATTTCAACCTGCAAGGCAAACAGAAGACATTCTAACGTTTTGGCTCAAACCTCAAGTACAAAACGGTTCCTTTATTGGCTGAAAATCCAAACCATCACACTACTGTGTTTTCTACTAGATTTAATCTGTAATTTCTTACCAACATACCAACCGAATAAATATCCAATGTCTGCAGCAGTATTTTTAATTTGATCGTATTTTATAGTACTGAAAATCAGACTGCATTTGCGTCGGCGATAAATATGATTCAATAAATTTCAATGATTTGTAATTTCATGAATGAGCCATTTCCTCTATCCCAGGTTAAAAGATAACAATAGTTGAATTATTAAAACGAAATCCGTCACTTTAATCCCTCAAAATCGAGTGGGCTGAATTTATTCAAACTTTAACCTTCCTTCAACAAAAAAATATCTGGGGGCTAACTTTGCCCAAATTATAATGATATTTGGTCTGTTAACCTCAATTTTCACGCTCGTTTGTTATTCTAAAATTGATCTTTATCTAAAATTTATAAATTTACGTCAAAATTTTGAAAATTCTGCAATCATTTTGTCAAACTTACATATTTTCAACCATTTTCAGTTAAAAAATTAATTGTATTCAGTTTTTCTGTATTGAAAATTATGTTCTCGACTCAAATTTTTTTTTTTCTACATAGCAATTTATAACACCAATTTTTAGCTGCTTATTCGAAGCAAATTGTGTACAAATGTCATTATAATTACTCAAGTTGCTCTTACCAAAGACGGTGAGTTAAATCGAGCGAGAGATAATTAAAGCACGATTGTTTTACAAGTTTTACAAGCACAAATCTTTTTTTGACAGCTTAACTCTTGTGGTAAAAACAAAATTTTACACCATTCAAATTAGCTTCTGTGAGCGTCTGGCAAAGGGGATAAAAAATATCAAGAAAAATATTTGTACGATGGATGAATCATTCTTTTTATTCATGCATTTCTGTCATCCTTTCACTCCTTATTTAAAAGAGATTTAAAAAAGATTTAGCGACGTTTTTAGAGCGTTTTTTGTTGCTTCCTTTTCCACTCAAACCAATAAAATCGGACACTTCTTTTTATCCGTAAATTCCTGCAATTTGTGACAGTGTGGTACTCTTTTCAGCTAGCTGCTTTCTTTAGAGTACCATTTTGATGTAATTATTTGCATCTTGCTGCGTTTTTATTGTTTACACAAACTGTTCCAACTGCTCTTGTTTGTCGACTTTTTAAAAATTTTACCACGAAGGATTTTTCTTTTCGACAGACATGTTTGCTTAGAATATATTTTTGTGTCGTGATTGGGTTTTGTTTTAAACTGCGAATTAACTGCTTGGTACTGTCGTCTGTTTTGGTATTTTAATTTGATAATCAGTTTCTACTTTCCTGTGGATTTTTTCCATTTGCGGCTTCCTCTGCGCTTCCGGACTTTTTGTGGAAAGCGCCTCTGAACTCCGGATAGAAGTTGGCAGGTAATTTCACCATTTCTATACACAAACCAGCATGGTATGAAGACCCACTATGTACAACCCCACATGGTAAAAACAGAGTTTAGCCCGTTTTCATTTTTTGGGACAAAATGGGTTTCAGATAATTAACCAAAGTAGCCTCCCGGTGGTATACTGAAAACGGAATACTTTATCCTGCCACCTATTATCATACCATCTCAGTTTTCTAACAAAAGCCCCAAAACTGAATTTTGGTTTCTTTTTATCTAAAAGATTATCATTTGGAAATTCATTGCGAAATTAATGACGAACATCGATCAAATATTTTTAGTGCGATTCGTGGAAAAAATGAAACAGCTTGCATAAGATCGTTTTTGTTCCCTTCAAGTTTCCCAAAAATGTCGACAGAAATCGTATTTCTTTAATTTTTCAATATTTCAATTTTTTTTAAAATTGTTGATGTGCAACAATTTTATAAGCGACTGCGTGAAGATCGATATCATTACATAAATACAAAGCAGCTATTATGCAACCATTGTCAATTGCAACTCAACTATCATTCGTATATGCCATCGTTTTCGATTTTGTTTTGCACGTTTCCATTAAGCACTCTTGCATCCTAAGTCGAAGTCTAAACAAAAGTATCCCGACTGTAAACATGTCCAAGTGAAGTTACACTCTTTCTCTGGTTTTCTCTCTGTGGGACCTTAAGAAGCTTTTATACTTCGTTTACTTTCGCAGCTTTGACATTCGATTACTCACGCTAACCAAACTAACTTGAAATGTTTTGCCAGCAAAATTTGCCATACTTTTGACTGAAATTGTCCAAAAATTACGCATTTTAACCTAAACAAACCCTTCAAATATAAAAATTGCAAGAAACTCGGAAAATCGAAAAACCAGAAATAAAGTTCTTGTAATAGATCATCGGAACTTTTGTGGACTTTTCACATTTTCATTTTCAAAAGTTTCAAACGTTTGTTTTTCTAAGCCTGCTCAATTGATATTCTCTCGAGAAAAATCTATTTCTACCATTGAAATATTCTCAATTTACCCCATTTTTACCAACAGTTCTCCCCATTGTCCATTTTGAGACTTTTTGTCGTAAATCAACACACAATGTCGCCTGCTTCTGGGTAATTTATTCACATCTATTGTTTCGAGTAGCGGTAATAAACTACTTAAGACATACTAGTACTTATAAAGATGGGTTAGAGTCCTTTGAAAGGATACTTAAACTACTATCATTGTCTGAAAAGTAACTTTTAAGCACCTTTCAAAGTAAGATTAAAGGCTCTAAAAATTGATCTGTTGGCATGCTCTAATGGTATTTTATGACTTAAACTGACCATTTTTGTTTTGTCAATGCCCTTGGATGTCTAGAATCTAAAAATAACAAAAGCAAGGGGGTCATCCTAATAAGAATTCTGTTCTTTGCGTAATTTATTAATAACTGAACAAGCGTAACAAACTGTATCAGTTTTATATTTGAGTATGAGGTATGGTAATTAAAATTTTAGTCATCATGTCGGCATTTTTTGACCAGCATTAAAAAAATTTTGGATTCGGTTTGATGTTTTCAAAAACTGAGTCTAGTAAAAAACATTATCTGATAGTTATTTTCTTTTAGAAAGCTTATGATTAATTTTTACAGCTGATTTGATGTCAAATAGTATCTTAGTTTTAATTAATCGATTGGGTGATCAAAACTTACCATTTTTGAACAAATCAGATATCTAAATATAAGTTTCAACCTTCTTCCGGCGTCGGGTTGCGTTTCTATTAATTGACGCATCCGTAACTCAACCCATGCAAATCGTACCAACAAAACACTTATAACTTATCAATTATTAATCTTCTAGTCAAACAATAAGTAATAATAACTCTTATACTTGTAATTTCAGCTTGGTAACCTTTCTTATACAATCCACCAATCGGCAATTCATCGCTAAGATACTACAAAGAAGTTACTTCTTATCTAAATTTGGTCTCAGAAGTCCGTCATACGAAGAACGGAAATTTGCAGTTGCCTCAGCCAAAGCCCGTTTGAAGAGAAAAGATACCCAAATAGTGACTGCAAAGACAGTCCCAGAATCAAAAGAACCTTCAGAGAAGAGAAGACGAAAGCAAAACAAGACGGTCGTTGGAAGAAATATTAAAAGCGAGTCATCCTGCTTCTCTGTCGTTTCATCATTATCTAATCCAAGGTCGAACGTAGTATTGGCAGATATGTTGAAGCTAGCAGTTCTTTTCGCAATTTGCTGTTACCCCACATTGGCTTATGAAAGTAAGTTCCACTTGATTTAGTCAAATAGATTATTTTCTACAAAAAAAAGTATTTTTTTAAAGTCTCTTCAAACAAGCAAAACGGATATCTAGCAGTCTTCTAAATAATCAAAAATCAATTTTTGCTAGCTTTATTAGTCATTAGAGTTTCCTGACTTTCTTATGCTAGAAGTTGGCTAAAATCAGATTGTGAATGTTATACTGAAATATAAAAACAAACTACTTTTGTGTAGTGGATTATAGTTTTACAAAATTGTTTTGACAAAAATATTTTTTTTAGATAAATGAAATAAAAAAAAAAGGGTTTGAAAGCTAATTGCAACAAATTTTTCTCGTCTTTTTTGACAATCTTACATCCCAATTTCAACTCGAACTTCAAAAAAACATTTGCAGTTTTGTCGAAAATGTGTAGCAGCTTTTAGGTTACAGCAGTTTAAGTTCCATGCCGTTTTCAATTAGTTTAAATTGTTCCTTTCAGAGTCGAAGAACACAATCGAGTTCACCTCCACTTACCCGAAGGAGATGCAAGTGTTGCGTCATGATGAGGTCAAGATCAACTGCCCCAAGTTGTCGGGGGCACCGCAGAGTGCGAAGATCATGTACTTCTACCGCTTCCAGAAGGGGGGACCTGGCCAGAGGGAAAACTTCATCAACGAGAGCGAAGGTCAGTCTGTTTCTTACTGAATTTAGAGAATTGCAAAACGTTGGAGCTGACCTAATTGATGAAATAGAGCAAATTATCAATTTCAGAAAAATGGCTAATTTTCCATTTAAAATTTTTGTATCATAATCATCTGAACTTTCAACTATGAAGGCAACATTTAATAAAAAACACAGGTTGCTTTTTAAAATTGTGTTTCGAAGTCTTACTTTTGCTACCTATTGTAGCGTAGTCTTTTGATACAACTTAGCGTAGACAATGTAATAGTTCGTCTCACAAACCCCTTCCAATTGAATTGATGCAAGGTAGTTTAAGCAGAAACTTCGCTAATACACGCAAAGTTTAACCTTTTGCTTTTGACGCTGCTCGTGGGGATGGTTTTTAAAAAACTAAGATTGCTTGTATCCGGGATAAACACTCAATGCTCCTATTGCCAAGGTCTGCTTAACAGTTTTTCTATCAAATAAGGACCAAATTCAGAATTTTTTAAGTTTTTTTTCAAATAGTCCTCCACACTCTATGATAATATGGTTACACCTTTTTAACTCTAAACAACTTAATACCATACAATTTTACTCCCTACTTTTTGTTGCCTTAGCGATTCAATATCGCTAAATTTTAAAGCCATTTCTATAACTCAACAGCGTTTTAGTCCAAAATGAAAACAAAATTACTTCAAGCGGTACTTCTGTAAACATCAAAGAATTAAATGAGAGAAGTTTTTGCCTTTTAAAGCCAGGCATTTTTGCGCTACTTAGTTCGCGTAAGTTTTGAACAGAAATGGCCTAGCCAATAATTTCAATGAATCGTTCCAAAACAAAACGAATTGGCTTTGCTAATAATTTCAATGAATCGTTCCAAAATGAACCCAAACAATCAATAGTTCAATGAAATTCAAAGACCCGTAAATAAATAGACGGCCTTTGACTAATATGACCTAATTTTTTACAAATTTTTAGCCGATATAGAATTTTAAAAAAGATTTAACCAACGCCAGAAGCCTAGACATTAGTCATTTTTGGAGTCATTCTCGAACCCAAACCTATAAACTGATCACTTTGTCATTTTTTTTGAATTTTTGGCACATAAACGCAAAGCTAAAGGGTTTGCCAGCCCCTAGTCCCTAAAATAAGGGCAACTGTCCTGGGGTTAAATTGCTAGTGCACAAGTCAAGTTCTTGCGTTTAGTTTTGTTTCCGAGAGTCTGCAAGGAAACGTCTTTTCAAAAAAAGCTGAAAAATTTTAAGTTGGTTTAAGAAATGAATTTGAGTAATACGACAGAATGAACAAAAATGAGACAAAACTTACACTGGCTGAGCACAAACTAGATAACCCTTTAAATAGAAATCGGTTTTGTCTTCGTAAACGGACATTATGTTTTGTACTCTTTCATTTAATACACGGTACTTTTTCCTTTTTGTGAACTTGAAATTCGTGAGCAGACGCTATAAAAATTGGCTTGTGTTAGATGAAACTGTGAATTCGAAAGAAGACTCAATCATAACTTGTTTTTTGGGTTTGCGTGTGTTTACCACTTTATTACGGTATAAAACGGCTGTCAGATTTTTATATTTGTTGGACATTTTACCTCAAGTTGTTATGAATTAGCACTAGCAGCTTTTTCAGTAACATTAACAATTTAGTGAAAAATCTAATTGAAAATAATTTACTAACTTGTCAATAAAATTCTAAAGTAATTTAGGAAGCGTCAATCTAGCATGTATAACTAAGACAAACGAAGTTTTTCAATTTGATGCCTGCGTTAATTTGAGGATTAAATTTGGTGTGATAAGAGTTAAGATAAGGAGTTCATACATCAGTATATTTAGTGAAATGACTAGGAGTTAAAATGTACGGTGCTGAACTGAAAAATAGGATTTAAATTGTTGTAATTTTAAATTGTCAGTAGTTAAATGACTAGGTGTTATAATGTACGGTGTTAAATTGGCTGGTATTCAAATTTAGGATACCGATTATATAATATTGAGAAAAATATTGGCGTCTAATAAGTAATTAATAGGACCAACTATTTTATCTCAATCTCATTAACAAGGAAATCTCAGCCGTTTTTGCGTTGATACATCTCAGCCGTTTTTGCGTTGAACAACCAATAGCTTATCCATTTTCTAAGGTTAGCCAAAATATCAATGTTCAATTTCCCCTAACTCAACTAAAAAAGAAAACTTTTTTTTTGATTTTTCGAACGAACCTTCTGAGCCTTGTTCTGATACGATTTGTTGTGTTGTTTACAATTTCGAACAAAACGCCGGAGTATTTTTGTATTAGGAAGCTGTTTTTTGAGAGCGCTTTCAATTTTTTTAAAACTGTTTTGAAAGAGTTTTTTTTCGCATCACCTAAAACTGTGAAGGCAACATTTAATAAAAAACACAGGTTGCTTTTTAAAATTGTGTTTCGAAGTCTTACTTTTGCTACCTATTGTAGCGTAGTCTTTTGATACAACTTAGCGTAGACAATGTAATAGTTCGTCTCACAAACCCCTTCCAATTGAATTGATGCAAGGTAGTTTAAGCAGAAACTTCGCTAATACACGCAAAGTTTAACCTTTTGCTTTTGACGCTGCTCGTGGGGATGGTTTTTAAAAAACTAAGATTGCTTGTATCCGGGATAAACACTCAATGCTCCTATTGCCAAGGTCTGCTTAACAGTTTTTCTATCAAATAAGGACCAAATTCAGAATTTTTTAAGTTTTTTTTCAAATAGTCCTCCACACTCTATGATAATATGGTTACACCTTTTTAACTCTAAACAACTTAATACCATACAATTTTACTCCCTACTTTTTGTTGCCTTAGCGATTCAATATCGCTAAATTTTAAAGCCATTTCTATAACTCAACAGCGTTTTAGTCCAAAATGAAAACAAAATTACTTCAGGCGGTACTTCTGTAAACATCAAAGAATTAAATGAGAGAAGTTTTTGCCTTTTAAAGCCAGGCATTTTTGCGCTACTTAGTTCGCGTAAGTTTTGAACAGAAATGGCCTAGCCAATAATTTCAATGAATCGTTCCAAAACAAAACGAATTGGCTTTGCTAATAATTTCAATGAATCGTTCCAAAATGAACCCAAACAATCAATAGTTCAATGAAATTCAAAGACCCGTAAATAAATAGACGGCCTTTGACTAATATGACCTAATTTTTTACAAATTTTTAGCCGATATAGAATTTTAAAAAAGGTTTAACCAACGCCAGAAGCCTAGACATTAGTCATTTTTGGAGTCATTCTCGAACCCAAACCTATAAACTGATCACTTTGTCATTTTTTTTTGAATTTTTGGCACATAAACGCAAAGCTAAAGGGTTTGCCAGCCCCTAGTCCCTAAAATAAGGGCAACTGTCCTGGGGTTAAATTGCTAGTGCACAAGTCAAGTTCTTGCGTTTAGTTTTGTTTCCGAGAGTCTGCAAGGAAACGTCTTTTCAAAAAAAGCTGAAAAATTTTAAGTTGGTTTAAGAAATGAATTTGAGTAATACGACAGAATGAACAAAAATGAGACAAAACTTACACTGGCTGAGCACAAACTAGATAACCCTTTAAATAGAAATCGGTTTTGTCTTCGTAAACGGACATTATGTTTTGTACTCTTTCATTTAATACACGGTACTTTTTCCTTTTTGTGAACTTGAAATTCGTGAGCAGACGCTATAAAAATTGGCTTGTGTTAGATGAAACTGTGAATTCAAAAGAAGACTCAATCATAACTTGTTTTTTTGGGTTTGCGTGTGTTTACCACTTTATTACGGTATAAAACGGCTGTCAGATTTTTATATTTGTCGGACATTTTACCTCAAGTTGTTATGAATTAGCATTAGCAGCTTTTTCAGTAACATTAACAATTTAGTGAAAAATCTAATTGAAAATAATTTACTAACTTGTCAATAAAATTCTAAAGTAATTTAGGAAGCGTCAATCTAGCATGTATAACTAAGATAAACGAAGTTTTTCAATTTGATGCCTGCGTTAATTTGAGGATTAAATTTGGTGTGATAAGAGTTAAGATAAGGAGTTCATACATCAGTATATTTAGTGAAATGACTAGGAGTTAAAATGTACGGTGCTGAACTGAAAAATAGGATTTAAATTGTTGTAATTTTAAATTGTCAGTAGTTAAATGACTAGGTGTTATAATGTACGGTGTTAAATTGGCTGGTATTCAAATTTAGGATACCGATTATATAATATTGAGAAAAATATTGGCGTCTAATAAGTAATTAATAGGACCAACTATTTTATCTCAATCTCATTAACAAGGAAATCTCAGCCGTTTTTGCGTTGATACATCTCAGCCGTTTTTGCGTTGAACAACCAATAGCTTATCCATTTTCTAAGGTTAGCCAAAATATCAATGTTCAATTTCCCCTAACTCAACTAAAAAAGAAAACTTTTTTTTTGATTTTTCGAACGAACCTTCTGAGCCTTGTTCTGATACGATTTGTTGTGTTGTTTACAATTTCGAACAAAACGCCGGAGTATTTTTGTATTAGGAAGCTGTTTTTTGAGAGCGCTTTCAATTTTTTTAAAACTGTTTTGAAAGAGTTTTTTTTCGCATCACCTAAAAAAACTTAACAATATGAAGACAAAACTGTGTTTCACCCTCGTGAAGTTTTTCTAAAGCTTTGATTGTTTGAAAAATTTCAATTCAAGGAAAAAAAGCGCGCTACTATTTTTCTATAAACGAGTAGCGCGTGCGGCGACGTATCAAAATATTTCGAAATGAATTAAGCTAACTAAATTGTTTCAAGGTGTAAAAATTTGAAAATAAAAAAGAAAAAAAATCATTTTTAACGATATTAAAGCTAATGCATATACCTTAATCTGCTGTACATATATCTACAAACTTTGAGTATACAGCATATAACTTTCAGGTTACACGACAGCCGGAAAATCAAAAGTTTTGTACTTCTGTGAGAAATCTTGTTATATCTACAAGCAAGTTTATTGTTCAATTTACCGCTTATTTGGCATAGAAAAAAAAATTGAAATTTAAATTATTGTGCAAAAAGTTGAAAAACAAAAATTTCAAAACATAATATGTAGTTTGAATTTTTGTTTGTTATTTATTTTATGAAACAGATGTTGTCGATGGTGCCTAATTGATTATTTTTTAAAATAGTATAGTTCTCACATCATACCACGCACTACAAACGGCACTTCATTGAAGAAACGTAAAAAACACTTAATTTTTATAGTTTTGTATATCGTCGTAGCATTCTGTTTTACTTGCCCAGCAGCCGGCTATCCTTGTTGATATTTCAAAATGTTTGACAATTCATGTCTGTCTTACAAATATTATTATTCGTTCAAGAGGAAAACGACCCTCATGTGAACAATTCCTTAGAGCAAACCTAAGTCGCGCTCCGATTTAAAACCATAAAAGTTTTGTTCAATTATCATCAATTTTCAGACCAGTCCTCCCATCTTAAATGGAAGCTTTCATTTTTTTCACTGCCAAACTGCAGCTGGCTTTCAGATAAAAGTAGTATTTCTGCTGAAAGTTTTAAAACCATATTCTCCTTCCATTCTTCAGTTTTGTTGGCTCAATTTTCATTTTCTGTTCTCATCAAGGCTTTATATCAATTTATTTAGTCATATTGGCGATATCGCATACTGAGTTCTTTGAAGATGCGTGATTAATTATAAAAATATGTTAAAAAGTTGGTTGCTGGAAACAATTTATTATAATTTCATTCAACTAATTGACTTTTCTGTGACTTCATTTCTTCTGTCTGCTGAAATGTCGCATAATTTCGGTTTTTCTTTGAGCGGTAATCTCGTCTTGTATGCCAGACGTCTCGACTGTTTGCCTCCATTTTTTTGCATAATTTTGCAAATATAGGGCTTCAAAAATTTCGATTTATTCACAAAATGCTTTCGAGCTTAGAGGAACTCACAATAACGTTCATTAAATATCTTCAATAAACAACATCACTTGAAAACTTTCTGGGAGTTGCATCTTAAAAGCATTTTTAAGACTCAAAAACTTGAATCACTTAAAGTTGTTCAAAGAGAGCGCTTTTAGTGAAACCTCTTCAGTGAAAATGTTGTTCTTTTTTTTGTTTTTTTTTTGTTAGACTGAAACAACTTAAACAAATTTGTTTGTCGTGCTGGTATGCAAATCAGCAATTCAAACATGTGTATATAGATGGTTACCGCTGCCGCTTTATGGTACTTTTATATCACCTTATCCGCCCATAAAAAAAAGATTTTTCTCTTTTATGATTAAGCAAATGCAGCAATGATAGCACATTTTGTCAATTTAGTTCCTTTTTTGTGGCTTACAAATGTCGGTATGATGTTTGAACATACGTGCAAGCTTTGAGCATCCAAGTTAAGCAGCTAAAACAAAGAGCCGACTGATCAAAAAGCAGACGACTTTTCTAAGCGCGTTGTTTGAGTTTTATTCGTAAGATGATCCTAGATCGCAATCAAGTTTGCGCCCACCTGGTGAAAATTAAAAAAAATTTGTTTTATGAGGAAAATAAATTTGTTTTATGAGGAAAATAAATGTGGTTCAAACAAACAATCTCGAAAAAAGAAAAAAAGAAAAACTCAATATCAGGATAGAAGATCCCAAGTCAGAAAATCCCGTATCCCAGAACACAAATATCCACTGCTTACACAGCCTATTCTTGTTTGCCTTGCTGAAAAACGACAAAAAATGACCTAATTTTAATTTTCCAGCCAACAGTTATACCCGCTTATACTTTTTGTTTTGTCTGCTCTTTTTAAGGTTGTCTGCTGTTTTATTTTTGATGTTTCACCCGCGCTAGGCAATATTTGAGGCAGTGCTGCTGTCTTTTGACAAGCTCTTTGTTATTAATAAAGAGATTAATAATTCATAACAAGTGGTGGAGGGGTGGAATTGGATGACTGCGTTCGAATAGATTTGAGACTTAATTCGTAGAGTGACTGGTATTAACGGAATTTGTTTCGGTCACCAAAAAAAGAGAAAAGAGAAAAAATAAATTTTTGTTTGAATACTGATGAAAAACGCCAAGCTATACCAAAGGAAAAAGTCCGCCCACATGTAAAACAGCCAACATTAAAAATATTGGAAGTCAAACAAAATCAATATATCCCTGATGAAAAGATATATGAGAGATATTAAAACAAAAATTGATCCTTCGAGTAATTACTTAACTTAAATTTATTTTATTGGAATATCAGCTAAAACCAATAATCAAAATTGGCTCAGTTTGAAAAAAAAAACAGAATTACACCAAGATACCATTATGTTTAACTTGTCATCTTTATTCAAATTTTGAAATAATTTGGAAAAATGGTCAAATTTACGGCATAAATTTAAGCGATTTTTAAAAAAAAATAATTAAAAAAAGTTCCAAAAAACATCTTTTGTTCACGTGATATTTTGGTTTCAGGTCAATACTATATGAACACAAAAACTGGTCAACTAATAATCCAAGATTTTGACAGTCAAAATGAGGGCAGATACTCTTGTGCAGCCATGGTATCATCAGTGGGCGGACGAGTCATTACGTCATCCACAGTACGAATCGTGATAGGTATTGCATAATTATTACATAATTAATTACTCAATCAACCCGAACGCACTGCATCTGAAATTATATGTTTTCAGGTGATAAAGAGCGAGATCAGTCGTCTCAAGACAATGATTTGATAGTCATTGAGAATGCCGAAGAGAAGGAAAACACGTATAAGATATCAAAACCAGACATCTTACTTGAAGGCCCGATTGGCAACCCAATACGTGAGTTTTGATTGAAGTTCAAGAAGTTCGTAAAAGGAAATTTTTTGATTTCCCCTTAAATACTCGATCATTTGGGCCAAAAAAACAGTCTGGGCTTCCTGAAGCTTTTTGATGTTCGTCTAGTTATAGCCTCCTATTGGAACGTTGCTGACGACTCTCTGAGAAAATATTATAACTTTTTTACTATCAAAGTTTGATGTCTTTTGTACTTTATACACAAAGCATGAAGACCTTCGCACCCACCTACTTTTGAGTAGAAAACGCCAAAAACAATTTTTTTTATAGTGAAAGTTAGTTGGAGCACCCTGCCACCTTCTGGAGTGTCCTCGCCCATGAGTCGGGAGGATCAGATGGCGATTGAGAAGTTCAGCCAGTTCATCATCCAGATGAAGCACAACCAGCACTTCTTCGAGGACTGGCACAACCTCACCCTGGTCGACAACACCAGATTAGAGCTCGGCTACTACCAGCAGCTAATATACTCCAACGAGTACGAAACAGGTCAGTGTTCTCATTTCACCCTGTATGTTGTATAAACAACGCCATTTCACTATTGTAACAAACCACCCTTCTTCGACAAAACTTATCATACAAATACTCTTTTTGTAAAACTTCTTATCATACAGTTCTATATAATATCATGCGTGCAGAAAATTCTATGAAAATTGTTTGATAAACGTTTTCCATTACATTAAAATTTGTTAATTGAGAAAATTAATGCCTATTTATTTTCCATTAATCAAAAATTTGCTTTACATTTTTGCGTTAACACAATACTCAAGGATTTTCTCGAATAAGAAATCTCATTGATTGAGTGGAAAAGTTCGGCCCAATGACTTGCATTTGGAGTTTCGCCATCAAAGATACGTTTTTTCTAAATTTCTCTCATAATTATGAGTAATAACCGTCACTTTTGTATTTAGCTAGAAAATGTTTATATAAATAAATTTGATAATTGAATATATCTTGACCTGTTTTTTGACAGACTAAAAATTATCTTACCATATAAACACTTTGGGTTCAAACAAAAAATTTATACCTGTATAAATAAATAGCATTTCACTATCAGCATCATACATCAAGTCTTCAATGCAGGCAAAATTTGTTCCAGAACATGGCCAAAATGACTATTTTCAAACCCCGAAGCTTGAGAAAAACAATTGCAGACAAAAGATCTTTTGTCATTTATTTGAAACCAAACAATTGATATCTTCATTGAAGTGCCACCCCAAAACATAGTTATTCCTTACTTTATTCGAAAGTCCCAACAACTATACAAAATAATCAGATTTGCAAAAAATATGTTCAGAAAATTGGAGTTTAAAGTTTTCGCTTACACTTTTTCATTTCAACTCAAGAAGTTGATATCATCATTGAAGTGCCACCACAAACCTAATTATTCGTTATTTTCTTCGCAAGCCGCTACAACAAAATAATCAGATGTGAGAAACTGTGCTTAGAAAATTATAGGTTAAACTCTGCGCTTGAAATTTTCGAACGCTTTTTTTTTGTTTCGACATATTAATTTTGTTATCAGTTTTTAAAAGATTAAAAATTGCCAAAAAAGACGTTTATGAAGCAAATGAGGAAAAAATTTTGCCTGGTGTGAGCTTTTTTTGACTTTTTTAGTTTTTTTGAATGAAGTCTTAAATATCTTTAAGTCCTTATATTGACGTTCTGAGCTCAAATTTAGAAAATAATTCTCCTGTGATAATTTTTTGTAAAGTTTTGTGGATTTTAAAACTGCTTATTTGGCCACTTTGGTATAATTACGCGTGCTTCTGAAGCAAAATCATCCCGTGCTTCTTATTACTTTTCGTGCTCCGAATGCGTAAGCGTCGATTTATTCTGGCCCACAAATCATTCTGGCCCACAAGCCATTGGGTTTTATTCATTATTACTTTTTATACTTTATTCAGCGTGTGCGGGGAAATTTGCAAAAAAAATGAAAATTGATGAGATTGCACTTTTCCATTTTTTGAAAATTTTATCAAAAGATCAGTTTTTCATTTTTTCATTTAACGAACAAAGCAATCAACAATAATTCACGCGCTTTATGTTACCCATGGCAAATAACTCAAGCGCAGCGATGCAAGCGGTCGCTACTTACCATTTCGAGTTTAAAACTCAATTTTTACATAGTAGGAACTGTCGCTTTCCTTCAAATTTGAGAGTTGTCTTTTTTTCAAAGTGGTCGCAGTGCCAATTTAATCAAAGTTTGTTACGAAGTTTAATTTTGAGACATCCTTTATAGCTTACTTTAAAATTGGTACAGTCTCATTGAGCATACTTTTTTGCGCACATTTTACAAAATTCATTTGGAAAGCTGGGAAACTTTAAATGAAATCAATTATTTATGATTTTTGAGGCTAGGCAACCTTATAGAAAAATTTTTTAAGGGGCTCAGCTTCCAAATTGCGAAAATAAACAAAAAAAAATGTTTTTCTTTTAAAAAATCAGCCTAACGATGCATTCCGTATTGCAGTTTTTCACAATTTCATTCAAAAAGTTATATCAATTTGGTATTTTTCAGTTCTAATAGTATAACTTATGCATGCTGATTTGTAATTGAAGACTGATTGGGATGCAAAGCGTAATGTGAATGGCAAAGTTTACTATTTGGCAGGTATGCAAAATAGCACGCCACCTTTTTTGTACTTGGTGTGCTCAAACGAGTAGAACCGGGCTGCTTTTGCTTCAGTACGGTTGACTCAGATCAAGTCCTAGAAGTATCACCGTATATATATATTTTTAAACCAACTGAAGTGCTGGTATAACAGGGCAAAGATTTGAAGGTTTTAGTTGTCTTTTAATTGACCTAAAATTGTTTTTTGAAATGTAAAATTTTACTAACATTTTTTATATCAAAAAACAATTCCAGGCCAATTAAAAGACAGTTGAAACATTCAATTCATTGCCCTGTTATACCAGCACTTCAGCTAGAGCAAAATAATATATAGAGTGGTATGTCTAGGACATGATCTGAGTCAATTGTACTCAAGCAAAAGCGACCCGGTTCTACTCGTTTGAGCATACCAAGTAGAAAAAAGGTACTATTTTGCATACTTTTGAAATTCGATATTGATAGACCTAAATATATAGCCAATAGTACTAACTATATATTTAGGTCTATCAATATGGAATTTCAAAAGCTAAGATTGAGCAAAGAGTGAGTTAAATTCATTCTTTTGCTTAATAGAAAGTTTAATCAAAAGGTATCAGCTATATGCGAAACAATGTATACAACTGAAAAAGCAACAAAAAAGTTTTTTTTTGTCTGAAGAAAAAATAAAAGAAGCTAGCATAGTACCAAGATTTTGACGTCTATTTAACATATATTTTGACAGTGACCTGCAGTTGTACACGCGACGCAGTAGTGTTTAGATAAAAATAATAAATAAAACTATAATTCAGTTGAAGTTTATCCTACGAGACCTATATTAAAAAACCCCATTTAATTTGTTTTTCAACCATACTGATTACTTTGATTTCTTTTGATGACAATTTTCAGCATATTTCGAAGTCGCCTGGCATGAAATTTCAAATAAAGCTCAAATAAAGGAACTCTTTTTGAATGGGATTCTAAAATTAAAGAACCTATCGACCTGTGAAATTTGTTTTCAAGGTATACAATTGAACAAAATATATGGAGATAGTTTTTTTAACAGTGCTTTTCTCCCATCAGAAATTTTGCTACAGAGACATGTAGTTTTCACTGACTAACAAAAATGTCTTCTGTAAACAAAAATGCAGGCAAAATTATCTCGATGGTAAGATTAATCATGATAGCGTTTCGAGGCCAACCAAGACCTTTACTCTTTGACCAACGATAACATAATTTTATTTTTCAGGATAAAATATTTTGACAATCGGTTAACACAATATCGGTTTCCTATGAACCGCAAAATATTTTTGTTTCTTTGTAATATATTTTGAGAATAGTCAGCTTGGAATAATTGTTACTAATAATTGACTGCCAATAATTGACTGGGAATGGTTATTTTGTTTCAGGTTTGGGGGTGTACCGAATAGTCGGCATGACATCAAAAGGCGAGTACAAATTTTCGCCCAACTCGGATCTCTTCACTATCCCCGGTCCAGACCACAGTCACGACAAGGGCGAGGGGGAGGGGGGACTTGCAGTGCCCGAGATCACTACCTGTGTGTCCATATCAGATAGCTCCATGCTCGTCGAGTGGAAGGTCAGTCATACAATTTTTGAAGATATCTTCACTACTATTTACTTCCATTTATGGCATCTAATACATTTGTAAAAAAAACAATGGATCTTGCTTACTGTTTCCCATTTTTGATAACGATTAAGGATTATCCTCAAACCCGATAAAAGTTATTTCACAGACAACAACGGAGACCTTGGAATTAATTTCTCCCTTCTGCAATAGGGGAGAGGAAAAGTAGTTTCGAAGATCCATGATAATTTTTGCTTATCGCATTTACTTTTTATATTATCAAAAAACACAAGCCATGAGATTAAACAATTGTAAAAAGAAGCGTTCACAATTTTGGACTAAGTGAACATCCTCCCAAACCTTGCCCCCCCCCCCCCCCCCCAAGCCCCACACTTGATTTACATTTTTTTTTTCGTTTTTTGACCAACTTTGAAGAAACCAATCTATTTTCCCTGTTGTTCAATAGATTTTATGGCTCTTTTCCAGTTTCCCCTCCCCTTGATTTTTTCTGAAATTCAATTTGTGAAAAGCTATTTAAAAATTTTTTTCATGTTATAAACTGCATCAAAACGTGTCAGCGTGAACAAGTGAACAAATTTTGACAACATTTTTTAAATGCAAAATGCCGTGTGATCAATTTTTGAGCAGCCTAATTTTGTAACTTTACCAGGGGTGGGAAACTGGAAAAGAGCCGATTATACTTTAAACAAAACAAAAGAAGTAAGAAAAATAGCTGTAAATTAACATAATTTAAAACAAAATTTAAACAATCTAATTGTAACATAATTTAAAACACTTCCATTTGACTTTAATTGAGGTCAGTTTTAACAAGTTTTGTGTTGAACTGAAGCTATAACCATTTTATCGGGTTTCATTGAAACCTTTGTCTTTTTTGAGAGTGGAAAATTACAAACAAGTTAACCAGCTGGCTTGCCAACCACAACAGCTGTTGGTCACAGTTTGACCTCGTTTTGATTGTCGTGCTGAAATGTATTTACTTTTATAGAAGACCATGTTAGCATTCGTTAATTTTACACGAAAATCCCAACGTAATTAAAAGTCATTCAGTAAATTGGAAGTTAACAAGCTATGTTCCATTTTGGAGGCTAGAAGAGTTCATCTGACTTCCAGGACGCAAACTATAATTTATAATGAGTTTTTCAAATCTCACTTTTTCAGCCCTAGATTTCATTGAATTAAACATAGGTAATTCTATCCCAGCTTTTAGATTTGAAAAGGCGCGCTAGTCTAGTTAGTGGAATTATTCCTTGGGTAATTCAATATCTATCAATTAAAGAACTAAAGAGAAAATAGGAAAATTTTCTGGAAAATCCTTCACTTTTGAATATGCAAAAGCATAATTGCTTATTCTTTAACAGCCCTAGTAGACACTAAAATCAAATTTTATGGATTTTGTTGAGATACATTTTTGATAAGTCTTCATTCTTTTTTTTTTCAAAAGAACAATGAAGCTTTTTTCTTTCCCCATTAACGCGCTTTAAATTTTAATGAATCAAAGAGTAATTTTAAAAACATGAATACGAAGATTACTAAGGTATTCTGGAGCCTGCATGTTTGAGTTCGTTTGAGTGTAGCCTATAATTTATTCTATTTTATATATACGATTTTTTTTGTCAAAATTTTCCAAAAAGTGCCCAAAAACGGGCACTTCTTGACCTGTTTTTTTAAAAAATTGCCTGCGGCGCAGAATATTTGGCCAAAACATTGTCTTTTTACTGCTTTAGGAGAGCTTGGAAAATCAATTTGGCCGACCTAAAAAAAGGTTGTCAAAATTTTCGAAAATTTTTGGAAAATCCGCCCCCCCCCCCCCTCGAGAAAATCCTAGATCCGCCCCTGATGCAGGAAACAATTATTAATTCTTAAAACTTATAGTAAATATGACTGCCCATACCATGGTGATGTAGTTTTCACATTTGTAAGAATCGATAAGACCTGTTTGCATGCGTCATTTTAGAATGATTTGGGCTCAAATTACCATGCTACAAGTTGAGCAAAGAAAACAAGAATGGAACGAAACGCTGGCGATAAATAAAAGTCAACTCTGGCCACTTGAAATTCAAGACAAAAAATCAAAACCGTAATTGTTGTATAGAAAAGTTCTCCCTCCCCCGCCCCCAAAACATTTTTTGTCGGCAATGTCGAATCATTGCACAACTATAAACATACTAAAATAACAGTTGTAGAAGTGCAAATGAGCTCAAAAAAATCAAAAGAACTACTGAAAAAAATAAATGGTCTCTAATTTTTCGATTTCAAAATTTTTTTAATACTGGCATTTTTTTGATAAAACTAACCCAATTTGAGAAAACTGGATCAGCAGCTAAGACTTTTTTTATTCCACTAGCAAATTAAAAATTATATCACAGTTCGTATCAGCTCCTGAATGTTCCGATTGCCCTTGTACGTAAAGTAGTTTTAAATTAAATTAGGATTGTTTTTGAAAAAAATCTCCAACAAAATGATATATTCCGCATCTAACAGCAGATCAATTAGACCAAATAGATTGCCTGAATTTAGTTTAGAAGGTTTTATGTTCTGGAATACATCACCGCTGACGCATAATACAACGAAAGATATCGCCCGTTTTTGTTCCGACTTTCGATACGAATATAATTCGCGCTATTAACGCGTAAGCGGAGATTTAATCCGTCTTATAAATCGTTCCAAATTGGTTGAACGAAGCTTATTTGCCATAATTGATGTGATACAAGGAACGAAAACTATCTTTTTGTACTTTATATGGCGTGTGGGGGGATGATTTTCATAAAAAATTTCAAATTTTAGAAAAAAAATTTTTTTTGTATTATTTCATATAATGTTTTTATGTTATTACTGCTGCTCCATAAATCTTCAAAAGCAGTCGGAACACTCAGGGCTTCGCCCTGATACGAGCAGTCTTCTTTTGTTTCAAATCGAGCATTGTGGAGTTTTCTCAAACCCTCATAAATTTTGCGAAAATGATTGCCGTTGAAATATTGTTTATGTTTGAGCTCAAGAGAGGAATAAGCAAAAATCATTTTTCAAAATTGAAACTCAATTATATTTTTTTCTCTTTAAATTGCAATGGTTTATCCCTTCAATTGGTTTCTCGAATCGAAGAGCGTAATTTGCCTTCCATTTAGCAACTAATTTTCGGGGCAGTACATTTATGCCGAAGTACAACAGTGCCAAAAATCAATTAGAATACTGTTTTTAGTCATTTCAAATCACTGACAAATCATTTTATTCAAATGGACGGAAATTGAAAATACAAAAATCAATGGCTATTTTAATTGATACCGCTTCATGAAAAAAAAAAGATCTCCAAGCGCGGCTCAATAGATTTACCTGAACAAACAATTATCTCAGCAAATTGTCAAAATTTTTCTCGGTTACGCTCCAAAATTAAACAGTATTTTCGCAAAACTACCAATGATTCACAAAAAAATACTCAAAATTCCGAAATATGATCAATTTTTGAGACTGGCGAACTCATTTTCAGTTTCGGCTTTGTTGTACTTCGGCACTGTTGAACGCTTTCTATTTTTCATTTACCAAATCAACTCAAAAGAAATCCAAAGTCGAGCGGCGAGAAAAATGATCTTTATAAGTATCTTCACGTCGTTCAATGGCACTTAATTATATTTGATTTTCAGATATAACCTTAAAATAACAAAAAATATATACATCATTAGTTGTAGGGTGGGAAAATGAACCATACTTTTATAGTGTTCAAAATTCAACCGTCAATGTTTTTCCAACAGTATTTGTGCTAATCTTCACGATAATTATGATAAATGAGGTCGCAAAATAAATTGACAGCCACTTTTTCTTTGCGTTGGATATTTACCAAGTGCTCTGAAGTTCTTAAGTTTGAGAAAAAGAAATTTCCTATTTGGTATATTTTCCTATTTCCTATAATAGTGGGCTGACACGGAGGATGTTGATTAAATATTTCGCAGATATTGCTATCTGTGAATGGTTTGTCTTGTTATTACAAATAGCAAATATAGTTGTCTTATCTTGTTTGGACACTTCACAAATTATGTACCCAGCTGAATTTCAGCAAATACAGAATATTGGGCAAGGCTGCTTTTTGTCCTATTGCATGTAATGATGACGCAACAAAGCAACAATTGCCCGCATTTTTACAACTGCTAGGAGTGATCTTAAAGCTTGTGGAAAACCTTAAACGTATGTTTAAAGAATTGAAAAATTTTATTGGTTTCCATTTGGATATATTTTTTTCTGTTTGAAAAAACTTTAATTGCGTCATAGTTCCGAAAAACCAATTTTTGTTTTTGCGGTCAGAACAGAAAAAATACATATTTTTTTCCGTAAACGTAAATTCCCCTCATTCTTCTGTACATTTTTGATAAACTTTGAATAATTGAGTAGCTTTTATTTATTCTGATGCGTTTCCTCAATTTTTTCCATACATATGAATGAGTCACCTGTTCTGAATTGACAGGAAAACAACCGCAGATATTTTTTGTTTTGGTAAATTTTAATATTGACAGATCGCACGAGTAATCACGGTCAAGATTGATTGACATTTAAGAAGCAGAAAAAGGCAGATTTTTTGGTTTCCATTGATTGAGTGGTTTTTGTCCGTGTTCTAATCCGATGGTTAAAGCAGATTGGTACTTCAAAAGACCACGTGAACAAAAAGCCTCAATGAGTCAGATGGCACGCAATTTGTGCGAAAAACCAATAAAACATGTGAATTTTATTTAAAGATCCAAGCTATTGTCTGATAGCTTCGATCTTCTGTTCCGTACAGGAGACTGAAAATCAAATTTTGATTGAAAATTGCCGATATGCTCTTTAAATGAATATATATGTGTAATTTTTTTATCGTCTGAGGGCTTGAATACTTTTTCAAAATCAAACAAGCTTACATATATTTTCTATTTTTTGACAGGTTTCCAGCTTTTCTGCACAGAAAACTCGAAGGGAGGAAAGTTTCATTTTAATTTGGAAAAGAGTATCTGAAACATTTTGCATTTCACAGTTCGATTTTCCGGAAAAATTTAGCCAGAAATTAACAGGCCCAAGACAATACGTACCTTTACCAAGAGGGCCTTGTTCTAAATAAATTCTATGGCTGCAAAACTTCTAAAGGTCTTCTTAGAGCTCGATTTCAAACTTCAAAAAAACTTTTCTAAACTTAATTGTAAGCTTCTCAAGCTCGAATCAAGAAAGCTCGAACAGAAAATTGAAGCATTGAAAAACCTAATTAAACTTGAAGAAAATTTTTAATAAATAATAAAATTATTTTAAAAATTTCGATCAATTTTTATTTCAGCTGGACACGGACTCGACAAATGACGTCATGGGCTTCATCATTGCATATTCCAAGGTCAACTCCCTCTCATCCCCCAACGATGACTCATCCTACACGCACCCCGAAGGTCACATGCACGACACTTGGGAGCAGGATGTGCACGTGAACACACCCAATAGGAGAAGCTATGTTATCCAGGGTCTCCAGGCGCACACGCAGTACCAGTTCAGAGTCCAAGTGGTTGGCAAGGGCGGCACCAAATCCACGTCGGCTACCAAGTACTGCAGCACAAGTGAGGACCGGCGATTTTCTAGATTGGGGGGTAGATTTTAAAAGAAAACTCAGTGAACATTTAAAAGAGGATCAATTGAACTTATACAAATCAAAACGCCAAAACGCCGTATATTGGAACTTATTCAAAAGTGTGACCTAAAATTGCATTTTTCCCCATATTGAAAGCTTCCCCATATTGGTAACAATTGTCAAAGAGGTGATTGAGAATCGTATATTGAAAACTCACAAAATAAGGAAAACTTTTAATGAACCGAGAAGCAATCTACACTACCAATTACAAAAAAAGGATAGCCGACTGCTGTGCTGGGCAAAAAGAACAGAAACTTTCGAAAAAATGTAGTGGTTTTTGTTCGTTCAGCTATGAGGGGATCTGAACAAAAGCCTACAAAATAATTACATTTAATATTGAGAGTAGAATACCGAACTTCGGCACCGTTTTGATCAAAAAAGTAATCAGTACACAGAAAAATGAAAAAAGTTTAACTATTTTTTTCAAGTTGCAGAATTTTTTTTGGTTTAATAGCTTTTTTCTGTTTTCAGAAGGCTCTAAGTATATCCCTGGAAAGAAAAAAAAAGAAAATTTTCGGAGAGCAGAATGGTTTTTACTGTCTTATTTGCGTAATATAAGCCTGCTTGCTCAGTTTTTTGCTCAAAATTCGATAAAAAAAACTCAAACCGGTTTTTCTCTACAGAGCGTTATTTTTTTTTGGTAATTGTTTTTAGTAGGAATCGAATCAACATTGCAATAACCTTTATATAATATAACCCTCAAACACTTCCGATGATTGTTTAGGGTGCTTGATTTTGTGAAGAAAACCAAAGGTAGAATTATAATTAAAACACACATTTAGCACAGAATGTTTCGATCATATTCATCAAAATCTACAAAAATCAAAGTTTTTCTTTTTTTTTCAAATTGAAGTGTGATGAGAAACTATACAAACGAGAATAAGGCATAATCGACATCATTTGTTCAGAGAAATTGAATAACCAATATAAAACTGAAAACAAAACTTAAAAAAGTTCAAAAAAGTTTCTCAATGGTTTTGAATACTTTTGGAAAAATTTTTGCCTAAATTGCTCTTGTTAAGTTTTGTTTTGCCTAGCAAGCGCTAAATAATTTTAGTTTTACTAAAATAAATTGGTTAAAAAATTTTTCCTTTTCCAAAATTTTCAGATAAACAACGTTACTCGATTGCTTACTCGTTTGAAATTAGAATGAAACTCGAAAAAAATTTCAAAGATCGGAAAATCAAAAGCAGCCTCTCAAAAAAATCATATGCAACAACCGTTTTTGTCATAAAAGAACAAGAAAACAAAAAACATTATAAAAATCTCAAAATAACGCAAAAGTTCCCAAAAATGACATTTGAAAATTTTTGAGAAATGGTAATAGTGGAGTGAAAGTAAAATTCCTCACCTACCCCGTTATAATAGATCTGCTTGCTCGCCTTATTCGCGCAAAATTGAACTGAAACTCAAAAAACTGTTTTAACCGGTTTTTCTTAAAAGTATGATATTTTTTTGAATTTATAATGTTCGAATCAGGGCTGAAAAGTCTTTAATATGATATAACAATCGACATATTCCAATGATTTTTTGTGCTACCTGATTGCGCGGGGAAAACAAAAACACAAACGAGTACAAAGTTTTCCCGCTATTTCAATTGACGGAACATAACATTTGACTGACTAATCTTGAAAAAAAGCAGGTTTAAAGTCTATGACCTTCAAACAGCTTGAGAAATGTTCTTATTTTAACTGAAAAAGACTATTCGAATATTATAAACAACAACATCATAAATCAAATGAACCATATACAAGAACCAACAAAATTTGAAATAAAAAAGATAGCTGATTGCTGTGCAAGTTTCACAGAACGCTACGACCATATTCATAAAAAAAATACAATTAAAAACTCTTCAAATTATTGTCGGTTTTTGTACGTGGTGTGATGATAAAACTATACACACATAATAAATTAGTAAATTTAACTTAATTGACTACAGTTGTCATCAAAAAAATAACAACCAAAATAATGAAAAACATCAAAAACAAATTTCGAAATTTTTTCTATTTTTTTTCTAAAACTTTTCTTGCCAAAAAAGTGCAAAATATATCTTTCAAAACTAGTTTCTCATTAAAAAAATTAAATTTTTTTGGCCTAAATGACCAACCTAACAAGTTGTTTAACTTTTATTGATCAAAATAAGACAAAAAAACCAAAATTTTCAAACCGGTTTTTCTCGACACTCGGGTTTTGTTTTGGAAGTTTTTAATGTTGTTCGAATCACGACTGAAAAAGTTTTTTCATAATATATCACTCAGCCCAATTGGATGCTTATTTGCGTTACCCAATTTAGCGTGGAAAACAAAAAAAGAGAAAAAAAGAACAGGGTTAGCCGGTGACTGTGCAAGTAAGTAGCACAATGACGTGAAAAAAAATACATAAAACGCTTTTTCATAGATTTTTTTTTCAAAATAGTGTGGTTTTTACGTGATGTGTTTTAAAAATATCTTAAGAAAACCAAAAAGTAAGGCATATTCGACAGTCATAATAAGATGGGCAAATCGTGCAACGGTTTTAGTTGAAAAAAGACAACAAAAAAATTCAAAAATGTTCTAATTTTTTTTTCCTTTTCAAAATTTTTTTCCAAAAGGTGGCTCTGAAAAAGTTTTAAAAACTATTTTTACTGGAGTTCAACCAAAATTTTATGGTTTATTTTTCCATAATAAGCCTGCTCGCTTGCTTTACTCGCTCGAAATTAGATCAAAAATCAAACATTTCGAACTAGTTTTTTCTCGACACACCCGAAAAAAAACACACCCCAATTAAAAATTCCTCCCCATTTTCAAGGGTCGGAACAACAACAATGAAAAGCCCGGATTTAACTTTTGAGCTTTTCTTCTTATTAATTTAGAGTAAGTTAAATGAAAAATATGGTATTGAAAAAATGCAAAAATTAGACCAATAGATCCTATAAGCATTAAATGCTCTATGAAATTTAATTCGCAATCAACTTCTTTGTCACATTCACTGTATTTCAGCCGGAGGTGGAGCAGGTCTTTCATTGGAAACTACAAACCCACCAAACAAAAGGTAATGCATGCGAGTTTGAACTTTTTGGGCTTCAAAATTCATCAAAAATTAGCTTTACTTTCTTTCATTCTTGCGAGCTTGCGACCTTATTGCGACCTTATAAAAGTTGAAATAGAACCCCAGTTTTTTTCTTCGCTAAAGAAACTACTCAGACAGACAAATAATCATACATAATACTCATTTGAAAAGGATATCTTAAGTATAATAGCTTTTCGGTTTTTTTAATAATACCAAGTACTTAATTTATTTTCCCCTAAATTAGGAAATCGATTCTTTTATTAGAGTTGATATACCGTCTATTCTTATCTGATTATCTGAACAGGTGTTTCAGATTAATAAATAAGGAAAAGTAATCAAAGCCAATTTGAAATGAAGCCAATATGCAATGATTAAAAGTGAATTCACAATATATAAATTTCTTTTTTTTGGCCAAAATTTACTTTGTTGGATATTTTATTAGATCCTTATATTCATGCTTTAACAAATTTCATGAAGTGGATTGGTTCGATTGTTCAAACTTTTTCAAAACTTTGGCCAAAACTTTTCTTGTAACAATTTTTTGAGCTATGAGTTATTCAGATCAAACTTGGATTTATTGTCTTTAAGTGATAAAAACCACTTGTTTTTATCGTCAAGGTATAACCTCCATAAATTAAACTCAACGGTCCTGAAAATGAAGGTCTGTTTGTTGTTGAAGCCATTGAAAACAGCCCTAATTGTTTGCTAACTTCCTTATTTCTACGATCTCTGCCACTAGAATAATCAGACTAAAACAATATTTACCATTAGTTCACGTGGGTGTTTATGGAAGACCAGACAATGATTGTTTTGCGACTCGCCTAAATATAATGACTCTATGTTCCTGAAAACTTCAACTACACATGTGAAAACACAAATCAAGCCATGTTTTGCCAAAGGATCAAATGATTTTCTTCTGGAATTTCTGCACACCAAGTTGCTTCCAAATGACATTTTTACATGAAGTGAGGAGGGGGTGGGCAAATAAAAACCTTATACTTCCATTTCTGGTGATACTTAATAAATAACCCATTTTTAGGTACAGTTTTACCATATATTATGTTTTTTGGCTCGCCAAGTTTTTTTCCAAAAAGCATATTCGGCGCAAAAAACTTGAAGGAAAACAATAATTAAATTATTCAAAAGATTAGTGGCAAAGAAGTTTAATACCCCCGAAACATGCGATTGATTTGAATGAACTGAATATGATACTACTCTAGCTAACTGATTACTACTGTAGGTTAACATTTAAACTTGTATAAGTGTTTTTTTTCAATTGAAGTTCCTTTTTTTTTAAAAGGAGGTGGTTGAAAAACTTATGTTTTACTTGAACAGAAATTAAAGGCTCTTGGTGGAGTTCTATCATGATTACCACCGAATGATGTTTTTGTTTGTTGTTTTCTTCAGTGATAGCACTGAGAACAACCTGCTTCTGATTCTGGTGATCGGGGGATGTGTGTCCCTGGTGATAATAGCAACTGTCATCTCCCTCTCCTGTCTTGTGGTGCAGAAGCAGAGACTGAAAAACAACATCACCAACAAAGTCATCATGAGAGGTAGTGAAATATTTCAACTTTTTTTAATACGAATTTAGTCGTAAATTAGTTTTCAATAAAAGTTTGGCATTTAGAAAAAGATTTAAACTCCAAAAAATTGTCAACATGTTTACAAAACTCATGTAAAATATTTGTTTTAAAAAAAAGAAATTCAGGCTAACGCCCCAAATTTTTAGTGGGTTTTGTTAATGGAGAAATTGGACTATTTTCAGAAATGGAGGAGGAAATGAAACGTAGAGAGAGTTCGCTGCGGAAGTCGGTAGGTGGAGTAATATATCACCAAGTAGCTGCTGCACTACACCAGCAACACCAGACCACCTCCCCAACCACCACGCCTACCCCTCCCCCCACCCACACCCAACACATTCCACTACAACAACACCAACTAGATTCCCCCACCCACCACGCCCAATTGCAACACCAGCTACAGCAGCACCAACTGCAACAGCAGCAGCTTCAGCAGAACTGTCCCTCGCTCTCATCATCGAATGCTACCAACGCTTTCTCACAAATGATCCCATCCCCCGTTGGCTCAATCACAAATCCCCCCTCCCTGCACGCGACCCCACCCCCCATGAACAGCATCGTCGGTATGCAGCCAGGACACCTCCTCGCTGGGAATCCGAACAGCGGTATGCTCCTCGGAGTGATGCCGAACCAGAATCGGGGAAGCAGTGCATCTCCGAGTTCCCAACAGGCGCCGTCGCCTTCTCGAGGCGCATCAGTTGGATTTATGGACGGCTGGCGATTTCTGGGAAGAAGTCAACAACAGACACCGGCAAATGCGACTTCGAGTTACAATAACAGCAACCCCAGATACTTAATGACCTCTTCTCCTCAATCCGACTTCATTAATTCGAGTGTGGCTAATCAACAACTACCGCAGCCACTTGTATTGTCGCCCTCTAGCGGACAAGAAATGATGACGTCAGACAGATCTGCTCAACATCAGAGATCCGGTTCACTGTTTGTTCAGCCGTCGAATTATGATTACTCTCCTATCGGAATGATCGGAGAGATACATGGTGCAAGGGATGGGTCGGAACATACGTCGCCTTTGCATTCGTACCAGTCTTCAAACGTGACTGCTTTGTCTTCAGTTGGCGATAGGGATACATACAGTGTTATTTCAAAGCCAACTGGGGGACCACCTACAGCTGTTATCGCACCCTCTCAACTGCCTTACAACGCCGGTTCGAATCTGAGTGAAGACCAAAATCTAACCGATCTAAACAACTCATCCTCATCGAATGCAGCCTCTTTGAAACTGAAAAATTCGCTCAAATCACTACCAACTCCCACTGCTGAACATGTTAACTCGTCGCCCTCTAGCGCCCAATGTTGTCACGAGCAGCAACCATGTTTCTGTCAGCAAACCACACATGTATGTCATGCTTACTTGTGCTCGTCATTAACTGTCTTGTCATAACAACCGTCGATCGTCCAAAATTTTTATGTCCAATAGTCTAAAAATTATGAGCTAGGGGGGGGGGGGGGGGGGTTAACTTTTTCGACCCCCTGCCTACCCAAAAGGTTTACCCTTTGATACTCTTTCGAGAAGACCATTTTTGGCTGACCCCAAAAAGTTTTTCTAACGGCGTCTTGGTGCCAATATCTTCACTTTGAGCGCGCCGAAAAACGCAAAGCGCGCCGATCTAAAAAGAAGGATCATTGCAGTGATTTGGGAGAGCTCAGCATATCTAAAAAAAAGTCGACAAATTTTTCAAGTTTTCTTTTTGAAAATCCACCCCATCCCTCTATTAAATCCTAGATATGCCCCTAGCTAGACTTACAACGCTTTAAGCTAGAAAAAAGCTGGAATTGTGAAAAAAGAAAACGCTGGAATGGCGACTCATAAGCATTTTTATGAAGTTTTGAATCTGTTTATCAATTTTAAGAAAAGTTACAGTAGTTCATCAAAAAATTTATTTTTTTTTTCCAAAAGAAAACGTCCATTAACACGCTTTGCAAACAAAACAAATCATTACTTGGTTTTTCTATAACCAAACATCATTTTATTTTGCCAGTTTTCGTTATCCTTTTGCTTTGTTATTTGTTTTTGTTTGCATTGAGAGGTTCAAAAGTGCAGTTATTTATAACTCAATCAGTCTGTCCGTCAAGTGATGTTTGATTCCATTCAGACTTCTATCAGTCCATTGAACACAACTTAACTATTAACCTCAGTTATAAGGAATCATTATATTTGCCTGTTAATCACATCAAAGCTGCATCAAATAATTTGGCTTCAATCAGAAATCCCGTCAGAATGGCAAACAAAAACACCTTTGAACAAACACCTTTGAATCTTTGAACCATCATTGATCGCACAACGCCTAAGTCGGCGTTAAATAACAAAATAGGACCAGGAAGTCAAGATAAACTCAAGGTTCTTTGCAAAATATAGGCAACAATTAATATTAATAAGTTTACTTACATACATTCCGTTAGTTTCTTCGAAAGTCGAAAGGATAACTTAACAGATACAGTGTTAAGATCAATTCATGATACAAATGTCGCCAAAGGAATGTGAAGTCTTAAAGAACATGGTCGGGAGCAGGGGGTGGTCGCGTTTTTTTAGTTGAATTAGTATTAGAAACATCTATAGTTTTTTCTTATTATGCACTAAATATCTGACTGTTTTAGATGACTTAAATGTTTTTTTTTGTAAATTTTTAGTGGATATTTTGAATAATGTAGCTTGTGATTTGTCCAAGGTCGACTCAAAATCTAATTAATCAGAACTCACTTTTTGAAAACAAAAAATGCAATGGGGGCTGATTTCCATTTTTTGTGTATATTAACTGCTAGAAGACACCTATAAAAAAAACTTCAGGGTCAGTCGGCCAAAACAGTTGATGCAGTAAAATATAAAATAGCATCAAAGGTGGAACCATTTGGAACTAAATAAACAAACATCTATGAAAACATGTTCTGCAAAATGTGCCGGAATTATATTTTCACTCAATATATCCTAATTTCCGAGTAGCGAATAGCGACTGCTTCTTTTTTAGACCAATATAGAGCAAGGATCCCTTCTGGGCTCTGGATGCTCCGAGCACTCAGTGAATAGCAGTCCAGTTGTAATGGACGACCAGACATTCCTCCAACACCAACTCCAGCAACAACTTCAGAACAGCATGCAAAACAACCCCCAAATGGGGATGATTAACCAACAAGTCCGACAACCAACCCCCCCTATGGGACCTCAGGGGCTTCCGAGTATCCTTACATCGTCGGCTTTCCGAGCACAGCCGAATGTATACGAGTACAACTCTATGATGAGTCCGAACTCAATTTACAATACGAACATGACCTCTATGGCTTCGTCGTTTCATCCGATTGCGGAGATCCGAGGACCGATTATACATAGTAATTTGTCGAGTCCTGTCACAACCATAGCGCTACCGCAGCCCCTCAAAACTCTAAACAGTCCGGCGCTTATCGCGAAGTACACAACTGGGAACCACCCGGTGTCATTACCGTACCAAAACACATACCACGGGACGACTGAAAACGACTTCGCCTCGTTTAAAAACCTAAAAGACCTCTCGAACAACAGTGAGAATAATAGTCCAGCAGGGTTCTCAACGTCGACCTTGACAAGGGGTAAAAGTAACTCGAAGAGTTCAGGAGGATCCGGTGGTTCCTTGAAGCATCGCAACTCGATCCAGAACTACACTATAGACGAAGACGAGCTAAGTGGGAACAATGCGACCATGTCTAACTACCAAACACTCTCTACAGGTATTTTTTTACTGAAGCTTCAATTTATTTTTTCTTATGACAAAAAGTCCCTCTTTTTTCAGGTAGTCGACCCCTCGTAACCCAAAAAGTCTATGAAATCCTTTTTTGTTAAGGTTCTTTTAAGGACGCCACCAAATTTATTAAGTTTAAATTAATGTTTTAGTTATATTAATTTCGGGAAAAATGAAAAAATTTAGTTTTTAGAAATACCAAAAAAATCCCAAATCTTCCAAAATACCGAAAAATAACGTTTCTGGCAAGTATTCTCTAAAAATTGCATCTCGCTCAGTAAACTTAACTAGATCTACTTAGGGCTATCTGCTGGGCGATATTGGCAAATTCTTTTTTGAGCAAATTCCTACCCTCGCAAATTTCCTAGATCCTTCAGATTTTATCTTGAATGATGCTAAATAGACACTTAAATACGTGAACATCTCCCGAAGTCTTCAATTTATAAATCTCTTCAAAATTTGTTTTAGGCGAACAGACAAACGGCCAAATATCGCAAACTTGATACACTCCATAATATTTAAAATTGAAAAGAATTGAATCCAAAATCAACAATGAATGATTGGCTGGCCCAGAACTGACCTGGATCTAAAGGAAAGGAATTGGAAAGTATCTGGAGGGAGGTCACAAATAACCTATAGCTTCACGAATGGAACCAAAACTGAAAGCCAAAAAAGAATTGTGCAAAAATTTGCTATGATTTTGAGCCAAAATATTAAAACAGGATTTTCGAAATTTCAAAGACATAACTAAAATCATTTTTTTAAAGAAGACATTAGATTAAATTTTGGTCTATGAGTGTTAAGGTAACATGAACTATTAACGATGAAGTTATGCTGATTTATACTCCATCTGATAGAAAAAAATTTTGTACGAAGTTTGTATTTTTGAACGCCAACAGATGTAACTGTGTTGTCAATTTAGTACCAAAAACCCAGCTGTTTAGAGACGCTTATTCTTCTATGATTAATTTATAACCTGTATCAATTGTTTCGTTGTTGTTCTATCTAAATATGTAGACACTTTCAGACTTAAATATCACAATTCAAATTTAATTTAAATTTTTATTAACTTTCTACATCTTGAAGGTTTTCATAAATCCATGCTCAAAAATTTGTTGAAACAGTTTCAAGTTGTTGATTTCATAAATCAAGAAAAAATTGTCTGTCGTTAATATCAGGAAATCAAAACAATGATCTACAAAACGGGTGCCGGACATCAAGTCGACGGGACTTCAAGCCAAATCGTAAACTTTGGGATTTCAAGCCGAAAATTTTGAAATGTGAACAATTTGAAAACTTTTTTAAAGATCTTCTCAATTTCATGATTTTTCTTGAGTAGTTTTTGGCGTTTTCATAAAATTTAAGCCTCCAAGCTGAAAAATAAAACATGGTTGATCAAAATTTTCTTTGTTTATAATTTATGCATTTCAAAAATCGGCTGATATTATTAACGGATGCCAATCTTATGTGATTAATTGTCATGAATAACTTTTTTTATGGACTAAACTTACTAACAATTTTGAAAAGCAACGTTTTACAGATGAAAAAATAGTGATTTGAGGTGGTTGTAAAGCTTAAATTTCGGCCTGAAGTCCCTTCGGCTTGAAGCTCCTAGACTCCTACAAAACGAGCTGAATTTAGCAAGAACTAAATTGATTAGATTGCCTTACGAAGTCCGAAAAACACGTCTGGTACCGGCAACAAAGACTTAAAATTATTTTCAAGATTGAGATTTTTGAGATGCACTTATTTTTGAGATTTTTTGAAAGCAACAAGTGCCAAGTCAATTTATATAGGATGACCACGCTAAGAAAGCCAGTTTTGTTATTTCCGTAAAATTATGGTTTTTCGCTGAATTTTCCTTCATTATTCGGTTTTGCTCAAAATTTTTGGACTGAAAAAGACATTTGGGCTGAGTTTTAGATATGATCGATAAATTACACGGCAATTGTTGGGTAATTAATTATCAAACAAATTAGATCAATAATGGCCCATTTGTTGGTGAAACTTTGGGTCCAAATTTTCTGAAATAAGTTGCATCCTTTTCGTTCTGGCAGTTTTTTTGCGAACAAAAAGTTGTCTACTTTTTGTCTAAAATTGAGTTGATTTTACCAACTATTTTTCTGATAAGCATGTTCCAAATTTTAGTTTAATCATCGTATGGTCCAAATCAACACTGAAATACTGAACCATCGAATGAACGGTACTGGATTTACTGCACTTTCAAATCCAATTATTAGTTTTGAAGCTAGCTAACCCAGAAACATGCGTAGGGTATATCTCACATATCTTGAATGAACTCATATCTAAACTAGGTTTTTAAGTGAACGAATACTATCAAATTTTGATTTGGTTCCGACCATTGAAAATAGGGAGGAACTTTGTATTCGAGTGTGTTTTAGTTTTTTTGTTTTCCACGCAAAATAAGGAATCACTAATAATCATTAGTTTGGTCGAGCGAAACATCATAATTAAGCCCTATCAGTCATGATTAGAGGAAAACTTCCAAAATTGAAAACATTTATACAAAAAAAAATTAAAATTTTTGACAATTTTTTTTGTTTTTTTTATGATTTTGTTTTTTCTTTTCTAGTCACTTATACAACAAGTGTTGCCCAAACTTCCTATTGTTCTATGACTGTCGAATATGCCTAATTTCAATTTTTGTTCTATTCTTGTCACCACAGCACGAAAAAAATACTATTTTGAAAACGGTATTGGTCGGAATATGATCGGAACAAGCTTTGCTACTTGCACAGTAACCGGCTATCTTTATATTTTTTGATTTTCCTTTAAACAATTAAAACACAAGTTCCAATTAGGTGACCGAACGGCTCAAATATCAGTTTGCATGAGTGAACGAACAGTAATTCAGCAGAGTTTATAAGTAACGGAAACTGTTTAACATAACAGCTCTGCATGACTATATACTGCAGTAAAAACAAAACCATTGTTAAATTACTTCACAAAGTCACTCTCGGAGTTACATTAGAACAGCCAGACTGTCCAGATTGATTTTCTATAATCCTTAGAATTGTTTTTGGTTTTTGGCTGAGTTTTTTTTAAATCAAAACCTGTCTAATAACTATGAGTTTTTTTTGTAATCTAGCAAGGTAGCAAAGTAAATAAAAGAATTTTCACAATTTTGGGCCATATTCTCAATTTTGCTAAACAGTTGGCTCCTGAAATTTCTTACAAGTAAGAATATCAAACGTTTGCGTTTACAGTTGAGGAAAAAGCCTAGTGTTCAGAAAAAAATATGATTCAATATCTGTGTGATAAAAAAATTGGAAGTTCATCATAAAAGTGGTGAAAAGTCTAAAAAAAACCACATCGAGCCACCACAATTGGATCTAACTTTTCTTAGCAATTCAAAAAAACTAAACAAAATAAACAGATTTTGGAATAGTTTTCATTTTTTAATCAACAATTATTCAATTTGAAGAGTATTTCACAAACATTTGAAATTTGCACGCCAAAATTCTTATGTGTTAGGTGTTACTGCAGCTACCGGAAATTCCAGCAAATTTTTTTGTTTCAAATCATTCATTTTCGCTGCTGTTTTCTTTTTCACAAAATTTTTCAGGACTTTCAATTTTCTTTTGCGTTCTGACATTTTTCTATCCTTGTAATCTATGAAGTTTGAAATCAAAATAAAAACCTATGGAGATGAAAAAGGTAGGGAAATATTTAGATTTTAATGTAGGAAATGCAAAACCATTTTTAAAAAAAAGTTTCAAATTTTCAAACCAGTAAGTAGCTTTTCAAAACAGAAAAGCCAAACGTGTTTTTATTGTTCATCGTCAAATGTCGCCGGAGCGAAAAGTATAATCCAGTTCGTCGTGAGATGAAAGAAATAGTTCAAAACTGAATGAAAAACAACTTTAAGCTTCAAATTGCTACAGCAGAAAAACTTTCAATTTTTTTATGCAACCAAAGTAACAGGTCAGAAATCTCATAATACGCAAGTTTAAAAAAAAATGGGTTTCGTTCTTTCTATCAATAACAGGTCGTACCCGCATCGTTTAAACATCTAAATTTGGCGCTTATAATTAATTTCAATTTTGGTAAAAGTACAATTATAATTGTAATACAATCGATTATTTTCTCCTTTTTACTGAGTTACTTATAATCGATTACTTTCAATTTATTTACAAAAAAATTTATCAAAAGAAGAATTATCCATTTTAATCGACTATAATGGATTATAATCCATTCATTTAAGTCTTTATGTGTGTTGCTTTCATTTTTTCTTAATATTGTTAAAATTCAGTTAGGTTTTTTCCTATTTTCAATTGCGTTTATGAAAGTTTACAAAACGTTACCTATAGATTCCACACCCTCCACGTTTATCCGTATTACAGTGGGGGGAGATGGAGGGTACGTGGGCGGCGGGGTACGTGTGGGGAGGGGTTACGTGGGGGGGGGGGGGTTACGTGGGGGAAGGGGGGAAGGGTACGTTAGGGGGGTGCGTTGGGGGAGGTTACGTAGGGGGGTACTGGGGAACTGATCAAGAATGCCTCTTTTAGGCATTTTTGGAAAATTACCACTTTTTGGCCTCTTCAAAACTGCTACATATTGACCGCCCCGGAATGAATGTGTTTGTTCGAGTTTTGCAGAAAATTGCAAAAAAATAGAGTCATTATTTTCAAAATTTGATCAAATTTCATGGATTTTATGTACAAAAAAGGATCCATTATATTGAAAACAAAAATGAATTATAATCGATTATAATGGATTTTTATTTTTCAAAAATAATCGATTAAAATGGATTAAAAATTCATTACGTTATCTAAATTTGTCATAATAATCGATTATATAGACAAAACTTTAGTCAACAAAATCCATTACAATCGATTTTTATCAATGAAACTTTGGTGAGGGTAGCATCTATTTACGTCTGTAAATCATTTTAGCTTCAGTTTTGTGACGTATATCTGCTTAAAAGACTCATTTTTACTTTTTATGCTAGCTGATCAGTTCCATCAGTAGACAATCTGCAAATATTGACAAATTTTTAGTAAAATTGAAGTAATAATAATCCAAACTGTAAACATCAATTGTTATAAGAAACGACAAATTGGTTTTCATAACAGCACTGTTTTTGCTCAGATAATATAGTTCTTATGATTTATGATGATGACGATATGCATTCGAAATTTCCGTCAAAACTTCTACTTTTGTTTCATTCTGATATCTCTTTCGTGTTTTTATAACACTGGTAAGTTGACTTTGGGGGTCTTTTTGGTTATAACCCCCCCCCCCGCCCTGAATGAATAAATTTGGCAATTCAAACTTCGAGTTGAAATTGAATGCGCGAAAGCGAGTGAAACTAAATACCACTCGCGTGCAATAAGCAGCAGCTCAATTAGGAAACCTAGTAATCAATTTGACATATACTTTTGTTTCCTAATCGAGCAGCTGCTAATTGCACGCGAGTGGTATTAAATAGTTTGTTTCACTGGCTTTCGCGCTTTCAATTTCAATTTCAACTCGAAATTTGAATTGCCAAATTTATTCATTTAGGTGAGGGGGTGAAACCAAAAAATTACAACTTTGGTACGTTACACTTACAAATTACTAACATCTGCACGGGAGAAAGCTTTTGAAACTTTTTTGATTTAAGGCTACTTAATTCTTGTTTTTGACACTTTTTGATTTTAACGTTTTCTTTTGGGGCCAATTAAACTTAAAAATTCTTGGATCTGTTGTTTTCCTCAATGTAATAAGAAAAAAAAACAAGTTTGCAGCGGTTTTGAAGTGGTTACGTTCTGGTATTTATAAACCAATTATATGATTTATAAAACTATCCATATAAAATCTTTTCAACTAACTAATCATATTCCATCATTAACACTGACAAGTATTTGTAAGTGCTGAAACTACTTGTAGTTTCAGCAGTAGAACAATTTTAATATATCTTAGACCACAGTTGTTCTCCTTTTGAACAAGCTCCAACACTAACTCGCAATTACCAGTATACACTAGATCTATTGAGACTAGAGACTAGGAGATATGAGAGTAAGATTAAAATTGGTATTAGAATAAGAAGTTGCACGAATTTGTCCGGCCGA